AATAACACTTTTTTATACTACAATTTAATTAATTTGTAAAAAAAAAAAAAAAAATAAAATAAAATAAAATAAAATAAATTAAAAACAATATCGTAATTGAATATATTAATTTACAGTAATACTCACTTAGAGACGATTTCGTCAGTTAGTATGAATAAATCCTATTGAACTCTATAATCATTCTACAGATGCTGTATTAACACAAATCCCAAATAGCCATACAGCTAAAGGTCCTAATTCCTTAGTTGAGGGGAAGACGAATTTCCAAAATTCTAATGCATTTCCTTCAAATTGTTTATATGTAGAACGATCAAATAGGTATTCATATTTTCTATATTTTTCAAACTCAAGTAAAATACAGATTGGTTGATGCTCAAACTATGCTTTATAGTAATAAGTAATGAATTGGGCAAGGTATATAAAGTTTAAATTATCAGTATTAGTTTTGAACTAAGTATCACAGATACTTGGATTTAAAAAAAAAGCCAATAATAATAACGGTTATTCCCATTACTTCCACCTTCGTTCTAGCCATAAGATTATACGATCTGCTAAATTTTCATCAGGATATTCTTCTCACATTTTTAATATTCTACCAAAAGATTGTAAAACTTTATGAAGACGAGCAGTATCTAATTGTAATTTATTAAGAACTTTGCAATAAGGAAGGAGCAATGAGTACAACAATTTTACTGAGTACTAGAAATTATTATTAAGCAGAATTGATGTTATATCTCGTGGAAGGTAAAGTTTATCTAAGTAAGTTTAAGATTACACTAAATATCAATTTGAAATTTGGGTAAAAATACCAAAAAGAGAATAGTATGTGGTAGATAAATTCTTTAAAAAAAAAAAAAAAAAAAAAAAAAAAAAATTATTGACCTTCATATCATAAAAAATGATTTTATTATTTAATTACTGCTACTTTCATAATTCCTGGAACATCTGATAATTTTTCATTACCTGAAATATTTATAGTCTTATCTAATAAATTATCTAACCTTTCAGAAACTATATTGCTATCTTCAGACTTTTAATTTGAAGATAGTGATATAGTTTCTGAAAGGTTAGGTAATTTATCAGACGAGACTAGGAATATTTTGGGTAGCATGAAAATTATCAGGTATTCCAAGAATTATAAAAGTAGTAGTAACTTCGGAATTAAACTTTTATATATTGATTAGTAACTGCAGATCAAATTTCCTTATTATATCTGATATTACAATTATAGTAGGTATATAATCTAAAATTTTATAACAAATTTTTTTAAAAAAATATAATACTTACTCTCAAAGCCTAGCAGGATTTTATTAAATTTTTAAAGCAATAGGAATAAAAATTCTAACGAGTATCTGCTGAGCAAACTAGGGTAATACATGTTTTATATACTTGAAATTGTATATCTTGAAGTTTTCCAATAAAGTATGAATTAATAGCATGATTAAAATATGAAACTATTTTTAGGGCCTGTTTGGATGCGACTTTGAATTTGTTAGATTCTTTGAAGATTTCTTCTATAGCAAGATTACATTGATAAGTGAAGCAGGGTAGAAAAACAATTTTTGAATATAGTAATCTTAACTGACGTCTATTTAAAACATTAAATTTTCATTAACTAATGACTTATTATTAAACGATTTAGAATCTTAAAACAAAGATTCTTTTTTTTTTTTTTTTTTTTTTTTTTTTATATATATATATATACGTTTTTTTAATTTATTTATTTATTTTTTTTTATAAGATTTTACCTAGTACCAAAATATGCTGAAGCACTATCAGAAACGATAGTAGATAAGTTAGTACCTATATCTGATGCTTCATTAATCATAGATTCAATTTTGGGAATAATTTCAATCATACGTTCTCTCTCTGAGCTTATGTCGATTGCTTTCCAAATTAAAGTTTCTCTAGTTGATAAGATAAATAAGGAACTGAATATGTGTTGTTTTAAAATATTTTTCCATCCATCAAACGCTAAAGTAACTCCAATATTATAATTTTTTAGTTTTTGTTCACGGGACTAAGTCAAGATCGTCTTTTCAGCATTAAGAATATGATTAGATAAAGCATGCTGATTAGGAAGAGTAAGTTTTGGGTTTAAAAATTCAAAGAATTCTAAAGTAGCTAGATCTGTTATCTATCAAAAAAACTATCTATTTGAAATTGTCATTTGAAGTAATAGTCTTTCAAATCTTGGTTTCTCCTTTTTAGTAATGCTTCGAATAATGAAGTTTATTACAGAAGATGTTGAAGATTTATTGCTATTACGGTTAGATACAGTAGAAGTTGTAGTACTACTGGTCATATCACTTGTGTTATCATCATCTTATTATTTAAAAAAAAAAAAAAATTTATTATTATAATTAGTAATGATATTTTAATTTTTAAAAAAATTTAAGGTTTTTACTAGACATGTCTGTGTTTTGGCACCTTTTTGCAATTTGAGAAGTAAGTTCTTCTTCATTATCAGTCTTGTTGCAATATGTATCTACTGCCTCTTGAGATCCTAGTTTAGCATGGAAATGTGAGCATTTTTTTAAGTAATTACGTACTGTATTTTTTTTATTAGTTAATGATAATTTTAGAGCTTCCTCATGACCAAGTGCATTATCACAAGCTTTACATACACCATATGTATTGTATTTATTTGTTGGCTTCGTGCCAAGTACAATAATATCTTCAGTAAATCTATATTTTTCAGGACCACTTGCATATCGTCGTACTATTTTGTATAATATTTTAATAAATTTACACTAATAAAGACATAAATTTTTTTAATAGATAAAACTTTTGATTTGAAGAATGAACTGAGATTTCTAAAGCTACATTTATTTATACCCTTTTACAATTATTCAGAACTCAATAAGAAAAAATATAGTTGACTCACAAGCAAATTCATAATAAGCTATATTTAAGGGTAATTGGAAAAAATATGCATACTTGAATATGTATCAGTCTATCTCTAGGCTTACCCAACAATAGATAACAGAACTGTCTTTATTTAAATTTTCTTAATTAAAAGGAATTAAATACAGTAACACATATCGAATCTCAATTTCAATTATAAAGACCTGAGGTACTGTGTTATATTTTAATTATATGAATGCTGCCAAGGGAAAACATACACATTTAAATATAACCTATATATAAATATGTATGTTTTCTCTTGGTGATACTCATATGATTATTGCTAAAATTCCTATTGAAGTGTTCATTAGTGTAGAAGGTTATAAAAGGAATTTTAATTTCTTTTTGAATTTTTGGCATGCATATTATATATATACTAAAATTCAAAAAGAAAATTCTAACAGCAGGCATTGTTGAAAGTTTCATTAAAGCTCAATATGTGCATATTTTTAACTTATCCAAAGTAAGCATTATTCTTGTCATTGTCTTTATATTCTCTATCTACTATGTAATAATTTATTTTTTATTTAATTTTTCTATTTACATTATTGATACAATTGGCATAAGAATTTAATGAATTTAAGCTACAAGATTGAAATTGCAAATTTATTAGTGTATGATATAATAATTTATTTTTATTTAATTTTTCTATTTTGATTATATTATTGATACGATTGGCATGAGAATTCAATGAATTTAGGCTACAAGGTTGAAATTGCAAATTTATTGGTTTATGATGTGATTTAGGCCAGTTGCTTTTAAGTCTTGGATGTGATAAGTATGTAGAACATCTTTTTATTTTATGATTCGAAATCATAGCAATACTACTGGCAAAACCCCAAATCTCTAAAAATAATCTTTAAAAGAGTTGAATTATTACATGCAATATAAGAGATATGTATGGTAAACAGATTTTATATT